CTAGTTGCAGTGAGTTGAGATTGGCCGCTGCACTCCGGCCTGAGACCCAGTCTCAAAAAAAAAAAAGATCTTCTTTGGTTTTCACAAATTAGTATTCTACTTACCATCATTTCAAATTTAACAATTCCACTTCAGCTTTGACTTCAGGTTAAAAATCTTCTTTTATGGACGAATTCCACTTTTTTTCTTTTATTTGTTAGAGATGGGGTCTTACTGTGTTACTCCAGCTAGTCCTGAACTCCAGGGCTCAAGTGCTGCTCCCGCCTTGGCCTCCTAAAGTGCTGGGATTCCAGGCATGAGCCACTGTGCCTGGCCTTTATGATTCCACTTCAGTGAGGTACCCATAATAGTCAGATTCACAGGGACAGAAAGTAGAAAGGAGGGTGCCCTGGGGGCTGATGAGAGAGGGGAGTCGTAAATTGTCGTTTAGTGGGCGTAGAATTCTGGTTTTGCAAGATGTGAAGAGTCTTGGAGATTGGCTGCATGTAACAGTGTGAATGTGTTAACACAGCTGAACTGCAGCTTACAAAGGGCTAAGATGGAACACTGTATGGCATATATATTTTATCACGATTAAAAATTTTAAAAAATCAGAAAAAGTATTCTTTTAAAATATAACAACTTTAGTGGGCCAGGTGTGGTGGCTCATGCTTGTAATCCCAGCACTTTGTGAGGCTGAGGCGGGTGGATCACCTGAGGTCAGGAGTTCGAGACCAGCCTGGACAACATGGTGAAACCCCATCGCTACTAAAAATATGCAAATTAGCTGGGTGTGGTGGCTCATGCCTGTAATCCCAGCTACTTGGGAGGCTGAGGCAGGAGAATTTCTTGAACCCGGCAGGCAGAGGTTGCAGTGAGCTGAGATCGCACCACCGCACTCCAGCCTGGGTGACAGAGTGAGACTCTGTCTCAGAAGGGAAAAAAATAACTTTAGAAATTATTATATAATTATTAAAATGATACAACTGAATATTTGGTTCCATTTACAATCTTAGCTAATTAGACATGCATGAAAATATAATTTCAAACCTGTTGGAACCCCCAAGACACTTCAGCCTTGAGAGAGATGTGACTGATGAGTCACATGCGGTTACACCTCTTGCTCCTCAGATTGTAGATTAACTCGCTTTCTTATTTTTCTTGTTCTGTACAATGACCAGAGAGAATTAAGCATCATCAGGGACAAAGTCCTCCTGCCTTCTTAATTAATGACCCTGTGACTCGTTCACCTCCCCTGGGTTGTCCTGCTCTGCGAGGACCAGATGCCAGCAAACCCATAGCTATCACACCCTTCTCAAAAAATGTGAGATGTGCCCTCCCCAAAAGAAACACTGCCGCTAACCAGTCAAACGGCTATAACGATGTGCCAGCTTTGTATGAAAAATGTTGTAATCCTGCTAAAACTCCTGTCTTTGCCCCTATAAATGTAACCTTCACTTCCCTACTTCGGAATGCTGAGCTCATTACTTTGGAGCTGGTGTTTCTGGGAGGGCCATCCTCACACCCTGTCCTTGAATAAACTCTATTTTGTTTTATTATATTATATTATATTATTATTATTATTTTGAGATGGAGTTTCTCTCTTGTTGCCCAGGCTGGAGTGCAATGGTGCCATCTTGGCTTACTGAAACCTCTGCCTCCTGGGTTCAAGTGATTCTCCTGCCTCAGCCTCCCGAGCAGCTGGGATTACAGGCATGCGTCACCGCATCTGGCTAATTTTCTATTTTTAGTAAAGACAGGGTTTCTCCAGATTGGTCAGGCTGGCCTTGAACTCCCAACCTCAGGTGATCTGCCTGCCTTGGCCTCCCAAAGTACCGGAATTACAGGCATGAACTACTGCACCAAGCTATTATTATTGTTTTTTGAGACAGAATCTCACTCTGTTGCTCAGGCTGGAGTGCAGTGGCACAATCATGATTCACTATAGCCTCAACCTTCTGGGCTCAAGCTATCCTCCAACCTCAGCCTCAGTAGCTGGGACTACAGATGTGGGCCAGCGCACCTGGCTAATTTTTAAAGTTTTTTGTAGAGATGATGTCCCACTATGTTGCCCAGGCTGGTCTTGAACTCATGGGCTCAAGCGATCCATTCACCTCAGCCTCCCAAAGTGCTAAGACTATTGGCGTGAGCCGCTGTGCCTGGACTAAACTCTTTAAATTAGATTCTGATGCTCTTGGTTATTTCAGATTGACACAAATTTAAACATTTTTAACTGCATGTATAAATTTAATATATTCAATTTATTTTAAAAATACTTCAGTTGCCTTAATAATAAACACAACTTTCTCAAGCACTTATTCATCGAAATATAGTAACTTATGCTTATCATGAATTTACATTTTTATAACTTTTTTTTAACACTGTTAAGATTTCAACTTAAAATATCACAAGTCTAAATCAATCAATGATTCATTTGTGCATTTTTTGAGACAGAGTCTCTCTCTGTGGCCCAGGCTGGAGTCCAGTGGCACGATCTTGGCTCACTGCAACCTCCGCCTCCTAGGTTCAAGCACTTCTCCTCCTTCAGCCTCCCAAGTAGCTGGGATGACAGGTGTCCACCACTACACCTAGCTAATTTTTGTATTTTTAGTAGAGCCAGGGTTTTACCATGTTGGCCAGGCTGGTCTTGAACTCCTGACCTCAGGCAATCTGCCCACCTCGGCCTCCCAAGGTTCTGGGGTTACAGGCACAAGCCACCATGCCCAGCCTCATTTGTGCATTTTAAATTAAACCCTTAAGACTGACCTTTTACTCACACAGACCAGGGGTGTGCAATCTTCTGGCTTCCCTGGGCCACATTGGAAGAAAAAGAATTGTCTTGAGCCAGACATCAAATACACTAATGATAGCTGATGAGCTAAAGGGAAAAATTGCAAAAAACCTCATAATGTTTTAAGAAAGTTTTCGAATTTGTGTTGGGCCGCATTCAAAGCCACGGCTGCGTTCAGAGCCACTGGCCAAGGGTTGGACAAGCTTAACATAGACCATATTCTCTTAAATTAAAAATATTTCAAATTCCAAACTTGAAATTGAGTCTCTGAAACATTTTTTTTTTTTGAGAAGGAATCTCACTCTGTTGCCCAGGCTGGAGTGCAGTGCAGTGGCCCACTCTTGGTTCACTGCAACCTCTGCCTCCCAGGTTCAAGATTCTCCTGCCTCAGCCTCTCAAGTAGCTGGGACTATAGGCACATGCCACCACGCCCGGCTAATTTTGATATTTTTACTAGAGACAGGGGTTTCTCTATATTGGCCAAGCTGGTCTTGAACTCCTAGCCTTGTGATCCACCCTCCTTGGCCTCTCAAAGTACTGAGATTACAGATGTGAGCCACCGCCCCTGGCCTCTGAAACATTTATTTGCTCAATTAAATTGCTCATTAAAAAATGAGAGCCTATTAAGACAATGATCTTGTCACCCCAAGAAAAATTTGAGGTTTGTTTTCCCGTTTTTGGGGTTCCCACCTCCTCCAAGATTCCTTGATGTACACAGAAACTTTGGGCTTGGATGGAGGTTTTTGTCCAAGGTCTTGATAGGACACAGCCCTATTGTGAGCCATTTAAACAGGATTTCCCACAACCTAAAAAGGACAGTGCCACAGCCTGTGTCCCCTGGGCTCAGCGTATGCGTTTCCTATTTCTTAAGTGAGATTTGGGGTTAAGTAATGTCCTCCCAGGTGGCTTCACCACTAGTTTGGATTCAGTTGATATTTTAGTCCACTTCGCATTGTTATAAAGGAATACCTGAGGCTGGGTAATTGATAAGGAAAAGGGGTTTATTTGGCTCATAGTTCTGCAAGCTGCAGAGAAAGCATGATGCCTGGACAACTCAGCCTTGGCAAAATACTAAAAGAAAGAAAGAAAAAAAAAAAAAAGAAGCATTGGCTGGGTGTGGTGGCCTCTAATCCCAGTACTTTGGCAGGCAGATCACCTGAGGTCAGGAGTTTGAGAGCAGCCTGGTCAGCATGATGAAACTGCATCTCTACTAAAAATATAAAAATTAGCCAGGTGTGGTGGTGGGAGCCTGTATTCCCAGCTACTCGGGAGGCTGAGGCAGGAGAACTGCTTGAACTTGGGAGGTGGAGGTTGTAGTGAGCTGAGATTGCACCATTGCACTCCAGCCTGGATGATGGATGACAGAGCAGGATTCTGTCTCAAAAAAATAAAAAGAAGCATGGCGCTGGGGTAGAGCCCCAGAAAAGAGACTCTGCTAAGGCAGTGGTGAGGGGAAATGTGGGGTTGGAGCCCCCACAGGGAGTACCCTCAGGGGCACTGCCTAGCAGGGCTGTGAGAACAGGGCCACTGCCCTCCAGACTCCAGAATGGTAGAGCCACTGGCAGCTTGCACCCTCATCCTGGAAAAGCTGCAGGCACTCAACTCCAACCTGTGAGAGCAGCCACGTGGGCTGTGCCCACCCAGCAAAGCCATGGGGCTGGGCCTGCCCAAGGCCTGGGGAGCCCACTCCCTGTAGCAGAGTGCCCCAGATGCAGAATATGGAGTCAAGGGAGGTGATTTTGGAGTTTTAAGATTGAATGTCTTTCTTGCTGGGTTTTGGGACTCGTATGTGGCCGGTTCCCCTTTCCTTTGGCCACTTTTTCCATTGGGAATGGGAATCTTTACCCAAGGCCAGTACCACCGTTGTATCTTGGAAGTAAAGAACTTGGTTTTCGTCATATAGGATTGTAGGTGATAGAAACTTGCCTTGGGTCTTACATGGGACTTGGACTTTTGAGTTGGTGGTGGAACAAGTCAAGACTTTCGGGGACTATTGGGAAGGGGTGATTGTATCTTGCAATGTAAGAAGGGCATGCGAGTTGGGGGCCAGGGGCACAATGATCCAGTTTGAATATCTGTCCCTTCCAAATCTCATGTTGAAACATGATCCCCGGTGTTGGACATGGGGCCTAGAGGGAGGTGCTTAAGTCTTGGGGTGGATCCCTCGTGAAGGCATTGGTGCCTTGCTTGCGGTCATGAGTGAGTTCTCACTCCATTAGTTTACATGACAGATGGCTGTTTAAAAGACCCCTTCCCTCTCTCTCTCTCTTGCTTCTTGCCATGTGACATGCCCGCTCCCATTCACCTTCTGCCATGATTTGAAACTTCTTGATTCTGAGATGATTAGAAAGTTCTGGGAGCCCTCACTGGAGGCATGGTGCCAGCAGATGGATTTACTGCTTGATTCTGTTCTGGATTCTATTCAAAAACTTTTTATCTGTTGGGGACCACTCTGCTACAGGTATGTAAATGACATCCAGTGGAATCTCCTCACTTTGTCTGGTTTCTGGGGACCATTATAAGGTTTTTATGAGAACAGTGAGTCACTGCTTAAGCAACCAGTATTCAGCTAAAGAAATTGGGTGGCGCATGCCTGTACTGTGGTCCCAGCTACTCTGGAGGCTGAGGCAGGAGGATTGCTTGAGCCCGGGAGGCTGATGCTGTAGTGAGCTATGATCACACCACTGCATTCAGTGGGTCTTCATTTCCTTATGAAGGCTCCTGTCTCCTGTAAAATTTATATTGAATACATTTGCATGGTTTTCCCTTGTTAATCTGCTTTTTTGTTGCAAGGGCTCCAGTCAGGAACCTAGAAGGATAGAAAGAAAAGTTTTTTCCTTTGCTGCCCTACATTTCAGATGAGAAAACTGAGGCTCAGAGAGGGAAACGGACCTGCCCAAGGTCACACAGCCAGCACAAGGTAGAGCTGGGATTCGAACCCGGTCTACCTGGCCCTTCCATTACACTTTCAGTGCTGATGCTAGCTTTGGTGTAAACCAAACTGGAACACATCATGTGTTTAGCACAGCACCAGGCAAATAGTAAGCGCTCAACAAATGCATGGTTCTTGTCCTTGTTTTCTTTGCTTGACTTTCAGGACAAAGCTCGTAACCCCCCAAAGGCTTGATGATCGACTCTGGCTATGATTGACTCCGCCCACCACCACATGTCCCTTACTCTAGTGCTGGCGTGAAATCACGTGCTGACCTCACCCTACATCTCACCCTCATCTTCCACCATCATCTAAATAGTACCTGGCAGAAGCAATCCATCCTCCTTCAGGGAGTCGTCCTGGATGGGCACCTCCCTTCCAGGTGCGCACTTCCCTTCTTCCTGGGCTCAGGCTCAACAGCTCGTTCAGTTGGTTCTGCATTTGCCCATGGAGGCCCTGATCTGCTGCAACCAGCCAGGGTTCTGGAGCGGCGTCTTTAGCCCATGCTGGCTGAGCTCCTCCCCTGTGTCAGGCTCTGGGCTAAGTGTTTTCTGTGTTACTGAGTTTCATTCCCACAACAAACCTTTGAGGGGCATATTTTTCTTCTCCTCATTTGACAGATGCTGAGACTGAGGCTCTGAGACTTGAAGGGATTTGTAGGTATGAGGTGATTTGTAGGTATGAGGATAAAGGAGGGCTGTGACTGCCACTCAGGAACACAGGAGCACATTCCTGTGCAGGTGACGTTTGGGGAGACCCTTGACAAGTGACTAGCGTCTCAACAGGGAGAGGTGAGAGGTGAGGAGAGAAGGGAAGGGCAAGCTGGCCAGAGGAGGTAGAGGTTGCATTGAGCCAAGATCATGTCACTACACTCCAGCCTGGGCAACAGAGTAAGACTCTGTCTCAAAAAAACAAAACAAAACAAAACAAAACCAATAAAATAAAATAAAATAAAAAGAGAAAAAAAAAAGCATAAGAGAGCTTACATGCTCAGAGCTTGTATAATTCACATCTGCTGCAGAGCCTGAGCACCTCAGATCATGTAATTTAAATATTCTATGATTAAGTTCAGGAAGGTGCTGGGCATGTGGGTGGGAAGGTAGGGACAGGTCTGGGTGAGTAAGTGTCACCTTCCCTCTCATGTCAACTTCCAAGGGCTGGGTTCAGAAGAGGCATAAGGAAGTATTTACAGAATGACTGTTTGGGCAAGAAAGGTCAAGTGTCTTAGTCTGTTTTTTGTTGCTTATAATAGAATACCTGAAACTGGGTAATTTACAAAGAAAGGAATTTATTTCTTACAGTTATGGAGGCTGCATCCAATTTCCAGGGGCTGCGTCTGGTGAGGTCCTTCTTGCTGCTGCTGACTCTCTGCAGAGTCCCAAGGTGGTAAGGAAGCTGAGTGCCCACAGCCTAGCTCAGGCCTCTTTCTTTCCTTATGAAGCCACCAGTTCCTCTCCCATGATAACCCATGAGTCTATGAACCCATTAATTCACTAATCCATGACTGGATTAACCCATTCATGAGGGCAGAGCCCTCATGAATCAACCACCTCTTAAGGGCCCCACCTCTCAATACAGCCAGATTGGGGATTAAATTTCAACAGGAGTTTTGAAGGAGACAAATATTCAAACCATGGCAACAGACCTGGCCTGTGGGTGGAGATGGGGGTTAGGGGTGGTTCTGAGTGACGTTTGAACGGGCAAAGTTGGGAGGAAACAGTCAAGTGCATTTGCAGGGAAGTCCGCACAAAATTTGGATAAAAGGTTGAGCATTTGAGTTGGTATCTGAAATAGGGCCATGCCAACATCAGCGTGCAACAAAGTGGGTTGAAGTTCAGTTCCATGACTGCTGTGAAGCCAGGATCAAATAAAAATCAGGTTGACCAACTTTTGCTATAAACAGCCAGAGAGTAAATATTTTAGATTTTGTGGAGCAAGACATGTGTTATAGTCTTTTTTTTTTTTTTTTGAGATGGAGTTTCGCTGTTGTTACCCGGAGTGGAGTGCAATGGCATGGTCTAGGCTCACCGCAACCTAGAAAATTGCTTCTGGGTTCAAGCAATTCTCCTGCCTCAGCCTCCCGAGTAGCTGGGACTACAGGCGCGCACCACCATGCCCAGCTAATTTTTGTATTTTTAGTAGAGATGGTGTTTCACCTTGTTGAACAGGATGGTCTCGATCTCTTGACCTTGTGATCCACCCGCCTTGGCCTCCCAAAGTGCTGGGATTACAGGCGTGAGCCACTGCGCCCGGCATATTATAATCTTTTAGCACAGATATAGTGTCATTGGCTAATAAGCACAAGGTTTTGCTATCTAATTGGATAACAAAATAATGCAGGCTTCACTGGGCCTTAAAAACGTGACACTCCGCCATTGATGGATACGTAGATAAACAAAATGTGGTATATACATACATAGATTATTACTCAGCCTTAAAAAGGAAGAAATGGCCGGGAGCAGTGGCTCATGCCTATAATCCCAATACTTCAGGAGCTAGAGGCCGGTGGATCACATGAGAACAGGAGTTCGAGACCAGCCTGGCCAACATGGTGAAGGCAGGAGAATGGCTTGAACCCAGGAGGCGGAGGTTGCAGTGAACTGAGATTGCACCACTACACTCCAACCTGGGCAACAGAGTAAGACTCCATCTCAATACATACATACATACATACATACATACATACAATGCTGCCCACAGCGATATGTATGCTGTTGACTTGGAGTTGTGGCATGTGGTTCGTAGTGTGCTGAGCAGCCACACAAGGAGATGAGAGCAGTGACTCTTGGTGGCTACTACTGATTTTTTAATCTCTACTAAAAAGATAAAAAAATTAGCTGGGCGTGATGTCATGCACCTATAATTCTAGCTACTTGGGGGGCTGAGTCACGAGAATTGTATGAACCCGGTATTTGGAGGCTGCAGTGAGCTGAGATTGTGCCATTGCACTCCAGCCTGGGGGACACAGTGAGACTCTATCTCAAAATAAATAAATAAATAGGAAGGGAATTCTGACACATGCTATCATGTGGATGAACCTTCAGTATGTTATTGTCAATGAAATAAACCAGTCACCAAAGGACAAATGTCATATAATTCCACTTCTACGAGGTACCCAGACTAATCAAAATCATAGGGACAGACAGTAGGGTTAAATAAAATTTACTGGATTAAGCTCCTGCACTAGATCCCAGATTAGAGTCACTCATGCCAGGTGCCACGTCATCAAATGGACCTTTAAAACAGTCAGTTTTCCGCAAAAACAGATTTACAGCAACCGACAAACAAGGTCCCACCCAGTCAACCTGAGCTGATGTGGTAAGGAAGTCCCCCCTACTTTCCCCCTACTGGGAAAGTTACCTTGAAATGCCCAGTCTACTTTTTGTTCCTTGTTTCTGTTCCCCTTCAGCCCTTTTGTGCCCCCAAAGCCAACCCTCTCTGCTCACTGGGGTGTCTTTCTGGTTCACCGATGGGATGCTACCCAATTAGTGAATCAATAATAGAAGCCAATTAGGAAACTCAGTTCATTGACATTTTATTTTATTGACAGTGGAATGATAGTTTTCAGGGACCAGAGGAGGGGGGGGATCGGGAGTTCTTGTTTAATGGGTACAGATTTTCAGTTTTTCAAAACAAAAGGAGTTCAGAAGCTGAATGGTGGTGGTGACTGCCCTGCACGAAAGTGAGTGTACCGACTGCTGCTGAACTACAGAGCTAAAAATAGTGACGATGGCAAATTTCATGTTACGTGTATTTGACCACACGATTATCATGTATTTTTAAAAAGTACAACATTGGAAGTCCACTCTTCTTGTTTTGACATGATGTGTATGCACTGGTAATAAAAAAATAAAACGCTGATTGGGTGTGGTGGCTCACGCCTGTAATCCTGGCACTTTGGGAGGCCGAGGCTGGTGGATCACGAGGTCAGGAGTTCGAGACCAACTTGATCAACATGGTGAAACCCCGTCTCTACTACAAATACAAAAATTAGCTGGGTGTGGTGTGGGCACTTGTAATCCCAGCTACCCAGGAGGTTGAGGCAGGAGAATGGCTTGAACCCAGGAGGCGGAGGTTGCAGTGAGCTGAGATTGCACCACTGCACTCCAGCCTGGGCAACAGAGCAAGACTCCATCTCAATACATACATACATACATACACACACACATACAATGCTGCCCACAGCGATATGTATGCTGTCAACTTGGAGTTGGGGCATGTGGTTTGTAGCGTGCTGAGCAGCCACACAAGGAGATGAGAGCAGTGACTCTTGGTGGCTACTACCGAGTTCTGCCATTGTAGTAGGAAAGTAGCCACAGATAAATGTAACAAATGGGCCCACGTGTGTCCTAATAAAACTTTATTTGTGGACACTGAAACTGAATTTCATTTAATTTTCATGAATATTTCACAAAATGTTCTTCTTTCAGGTTTTTTTTTTTTTTTTTTTTTTTTTTTTTTTTTTTTTTTGCCAACCATTTAAAAATGTAAAAACCATTCTTAGTTCATGTATAGTAGTTGCCAACCCCTGGTCTAAAACATCACATTGCTCCATTGTTTGGCCAATTTTTAAAAAACAATTTTGAGAATTGCTTGTAATTCTATTTAGTAGGAAGTCTCTTTGGAAGGGGTGATGAAAGGAGGAGAAGAAAATAACTTGAAAAGCTAAGAAACCAGTATCCTGGCAGAGGGAAGAGAAAGACCAATGTGTTTAAGCCAAAATGAATCTATGAAACTCAGACTCAGGGACATTCTGTAAAATAAAATTGTATAAAACTGGATTCCAAAAGTGACAAAGTCATGAAACAGACAGCTGAGGGACTGTCCCAGATTGAAAGAAACTAAAGAGGCATCACGATTGGAGGATTGACTTTTGCTGAAAGAGGCGCCATGTTGACAACTGCTGAGATCCCGTTGAGATCTGTGGATTAGATGGCAGTATTATATCAATGTTAATTCCTGATTTTGATTCTTATACTTTGGTTATGTCTTTATGGTAAAGAATATCATGCCTGCAATTTACCACTAAGTGGTTCAGAAAAATATGTATGTATGTAGTATAAAAATAAAAAACTATCATATATACATATATGCATATATATATATATAGGTTTATACATAATGTATGTGTTTACATGTATCCTTATGTATGTGTATATATACATGTACATATGTGTATATATATATTTGGGGAGAGAGAGAAAAGGAGGGAGAGAGGGAGAGGGAGAACACTAATGTAGAGAGATAATATCTGGGGAATCTAGGTGGTGTGGATGACGGGTAGGGTACCTGGGAATTCTCTGTATTATTGTTGCAATTTTTCTGTAAGTCTGAAATTACGTCAATAAGAAAGTTTAGAACAAAGTGTAGGATTGATCATTCTATTTTATATGTCTCGATCAATATTGGGAAAATGCCTTCTAAAAAAGATGATACCACTTATCTTCTCACCAATGACAAATGAGAGTGTTTGTTTCTCCACATCTGTGCCAACACTGAGTATAATGCATCTTTTGAATCTTTGCTATTGTGCTAGATTAAAAATAGATCTCATTTGTTTTAGTGGGCATTTCTTTGGTTATAATCGGGGCTAAGCACAATCTTCGATGTGTACTGGCCATTCATATTATTTCTTTCAGGTAAATAGGGAAGCAAAGGGGGCTGGGACCAGACCCTGGGCCCCTTCCACACTTAGAGGAAGAGCCAAGACTGCGTGGTGTCATGGAAGCCAAGGAAAGAAGATGCTTCAAGAAGGAGGGAGCACAACTGTGTCCAAAGCTGCCAAGAGGGCCAGTAATATGGGGACAGAGGAGTGATCATTGGGTATGATGGGCTGGAGGCTGCAGTCTTAGTTGAGTGTCGGGATGAATGCCTACTTAGAGTGGGTGGAGGGGAGAATGAATAGTGACATTTTGAAGAGACAGATTGTACCAATTCTTTAAGGAATTTTGCTATGAAAGAGAGCAGAGAAATGGGGCAGGCACTGGAGGGGGAGGTGGTGCCAAGGAACAGTCACACTGTGTTTGCTTGTGGGAATGATTAACTGGTAATGCAGAAGAGAGTAGAGAAAATAGAAGTGAAGTTCCTCAAGAGAGGGGATGTTCTATTCTCCTTAGGTGACCTCATTCAGTTCCACAGTGAAAGTCGCATCTGGACACCAGGGACTCCCAATTGCAGATTCTGTCTTCACCCTGACACTCCCCTGCACCTCAGTGGCGTGTACACACCTGCCTGTTGAAGCTCTCTCCGTGAATGGTTGTCTTAGTGTGTTTGTGCTGCTGTAACAGAAGTACCCAAGACTGGGTAATTTATAAAGAACAGAACGTTATCTCTCACAGTTCTGGAGGCCGAGCAGTCCAAGATCGGGGCAAGAAGATTTTGTGTCTGGTGAGGACTGCTCTCTGCTTTCAAGATGGTGCTTTCTTGCTGTGTCCTCACATGGCAGAAGAGTTAGAAGGGGCACATCAACTCCCTCAAGGCCTTTTGTAAGGACACTAATTCCATCCCAAAGGTCCCACCTCCTAATACTATTACATTGGGTCTTAGGTTCCAACATGAATTTTGGAGAGACACAGACATACCATAGCAATGGTCAGTGGGCACTCATTCCCAACTTGGCTAAAAATAAAGACTCATGACTTTGGATAAATTAAGTATTCTGGGCCTCCGTTTCCTCATCTGTATAGAGTGGTTGTGAGGCTTACAGAAGAGATTCCATGTAGAACAGCCTCTTCACCAGGAATGATTTTCCCTAGGGGCCATTTGGCAGTGTCTGGAGACATTTTTGGTTGTCCAACTCTCTCTCTCTCTGTGTACACTCATGCATATACACGTGCATGCATACTAATGGCATCTAGTGGGTAGGGACTACCCACTAGAGATGTTAACATCCCACAATGTACAGGACGATGAAACATTATCTCATCTCAAATACCAACAGTGTGGAGATTGGGGACTTCCTGATGTAAAGAGAGCCAGGCACAGAGGAAGAACCTGGTAAATGTGAGTGCTTACTATTATTTTAACCCTCCAAACCAGCTCCTGCCCATCTTCTGCCATTTTCCCACCTAAGAAGTACCACCATCTACCTAATTTTTCAAGGCAAAAAAATGTATACACAGTTTCCTTGAGACTTGTCTTCCTCTCATCCCCAATTCCAGTCCATGATTAGCAAGTCCCATCGATTTCCACCCCAACACATCCTGAGTGCTTGCACCTGCACCTCCACCTCCCCACTTCCACTTTATTCCAGGTGTTTGTCCGTTCTCCCCTGGGCTAATTCGGGAGCCTCCTAACTGGACTCCCTGCTTCTGCTCTCATTTTCGTCAACTCTCCACACAGTGGCCAAAATGATAGATTGAAAATGTAACCAGAGGATGCCCCTCTCCTGCTTAAAACCTGCCCTGTCTTCCCACCTCATTCAGGTCTCGACTCTCTCTCCCACTTACAGAGTCCTGCAGACTCCAGCTGGTCCCTCACTCTATACTTTCCTCCTTGCCCACTTCTCTGAAGCCATGCTGGCCTTCTCTTGGCTTCTGGAATATTCCCAGCTCATTGCTGCTTGGAGAACTTGCACTACCTTTGCTGGTCCCTCCTCTGAAAGGCTTTCCCCCGCCGACCATTGCACGACTGCCTGTTCTTGGCATTCAGATATCAGCACCTCCTTGGGAGATCTTTCCTGGCCATCCCACCTAGAGTCGCTGTGCCACCTCTGTCGGGTCACCCTATTTTAGCAGGAAGGATTTGTGTTTGCTTGCTTGCCTGCTTTGCCTCACTAGGTCATTCCATGAGAGCAGGGACCTTGTCTTGTTCATCAAGACCTCCAACATCTACAACCATGCCTGGTATGCAGTAATTGCTCAATGAATCATAGTAGAATTGACTTTAGATTATGTGGCTTGCCTCTTCGTGACTTTTATCTATTTTCCTACTGAGTTACTACTCTTATTTATCTGTCTTATTTGTCTTTTGATTTCTTTTTCTTTTTTTTTTGAGATGGAGTCATGTTCTGTCACCAGGCTGCAGTGAAGTGGCACGATCTCAGCTGACTGTAACCTCTGCCTCCCGGGTTCAAGAGATTCTCCCGCCTCTGCCTCCCGAGTAGCATATAGGCACACGCCAACAGGCCCAGCTAATTTTTGTGTTTTTAGTAGAGATGGGGTTTCATCATGTTGGCCAAGATGGTCTCAATCTCTTGACCTCATGATCCGCCCACCTCAGCCTCCCAAAGTGCTGGGATTACAGGCATGAGCCACCTCGCCCAGCCTTGTCTTTTGAATTCTTAAAAGGTGTTTGCTGAATTAAATGGTGCAAACTTTTAACTGTGATCGTGTAAGTTCCTGGCTGTAGCCACCTGGGTGAAGTGTTCCAGCTTTGGAATATAAACAGTGAAAAATAATTAATGGACACCTAGGGTTGGGTATCTCATTTGCAGGATCAAAGGGAGGGACCATTTCCCCTCCCTGCAATGCTGAGGAGCTTGGACTCTTAGGTCCTCGCCCTGACTTGGTCAGTGGTATGAGCAGGTGACTTTTTGGCATGTCTCTTTGCCTGAGCTGAGTCACTTGCAAATTGGGGATAATGAGGTTTGTCTTTGGCTCATCAGCTTGGTGTGTTTTCATCTTTTCAGGTGGTAGGGTTTGGGCTCTAATCAACAGGCCGACAAATAGTGAGTTCCCTGTCTGTGCCGGGATGGCGAAGATCCTGATGGAATAAAACACAGTTCTGCCTTCAAAGAGTTTACAGTCCAGAGAGGGAGAGAGACAAGTACACAAATCACTGTAGTGGCTGCAAGAAACAAATACGTGCACAGGCACAGATGTGCCCATCAAGAAGTGGGTGACGGTCTAGAGCGAGGGCAAGGAAGACTTCCCAGAGGAGCTGCCATCTGAATAAGGTTTGAAGAGATGAATAGGAGTTTGCCAGACAAGGCGGGGTGGGGGGTGGCTGTCACTGCAGAGGGAACTGCATGTGCAAAGGCTTGCAGATGACAGCATAATGGATACGGGAAAACCAGTTCTATGGGATTCTTGTCTGGCTGACCCCAACACCTCCATTACTTCTTTTCTTTCCCACTTTTTTCCTGAGCCAGTGTGGTCTTGGGGAGGTGTCTGCTGTGTGATTGCAGGAGGGCTGAGCCTCCTTAGGGAGGGAGAGAGAGGGGATAGTCCTGCTGGAAGGCACTGCCTGGGAGGAACAGGTCTTCAGGGGGCTCCTTACGCATCCTTCCTTTGCACCATGAGGGAAGAGGCACAAGGAGGCTCTGCCCCGAATCTCTCTGGCTTGGCTCAGCAGTATCACTCATCATGGGGAAGGATCTATTCCAGGAGCAGAGCAACCGCAGGGCTGGGACCCTGGGAGAATTGGAGAATATTGGGCTGAATGGCAAAGGTAGGTGGAACCTGAGCTACCTAAGTTTCAGGAGGACAAAATGTTTCATCTTCCCTGGTACTTTGACCCTTGGTGCTTGGGGGCTGCTGGAAGTTTTGAGAGTCAGGGTCTCACTCTGTCACCCAGGCTAGAGTACAGTAAGGTGATCATGGCTCACTGCAACCTCAAACTCCTGGACTCAAGTGATCCACCCACCTCAGCTGCCTGAGTAGCTAGAACCACAGGTGTGCACCAGTACACCAGGCTGATTTTTTTACTTTTGTAGAGATGAGGTCTCACTATGTTGACCAGGCTAGTCTTGAACTCCTGGCCTCAACCAATCCTGGGAGATATGTACTTGAGGCTGAAATGTGCTTCGTGTCCCATGATCAGTGAGCACCATCTGCCGTGAGTGCTGGAAGGGAGCACGCTTGCATGCACACTCGTGGAAGGGAGAGAATGGGTCTGCATGTTGTTGCTGCCATCTCCAATCTGGTACAGATGGGGAATCTGAGGGGCAGAGTATGCGAGGTTCTTATTTATTGCTCTGTCTCCTTGACCAGCACAGTATCTGCCACACAGTGTCAGGAAAGGTCTGTGGAATTGAGACGCATTACCCAGTTCTCCCAAGTCTCTATTGGGACTCTATTAAAACGGGACAAATGGCTGTTAGGTGCATAAGGTCTTGTACATTTCGGGGGAGATTTTTCTGCAAAAGAACAGACTCCAGAGGAGGCTAGGAAATCAGAGAGGTGCCCTGTCCTGGTAGTTTTGGGATACTTGGTCACAGAGGCTGGGAGCAGACTGAAGAACCGGGCTATAGCATAGCTGACTTTCCCTTCTTCGAAAAGATCCATTTGAAAATATTAAATATTGCAACAGAGCCACAGAACCTTGAGTCTGAAAGCTCTAAGCAGACATTTAGTTCAATTCAGCTGAAAACAAAACAAAACAAGACAAAGCAAAACCCTGCAGACTGGCATTCAGACCTCAGCTCCATCCATTTCCAGCTGCAGGGCCTTGGGCAAGTGATTAACCCTTCTGACTTCACGTAGTTTAGTTTCCTCATTTGGAATGTAATCTCCAGCTCACAGGATTAAATGAAATATGTCAGCAAACTGCCAGTCCAGTGCTTCGTGTGGAAAATAGGAGTTTCTGTTTTGCAAAGCGATAGCAAAAATTTTTTAAAAGAAAGAAAAAAAAAGGATTTCAAGCAACACTAGGAGCTATGTTTCTAGCAGATATTCCTATAACAGAGGCACGTTTTACCGCCTATGCTGTACCTCCCAGAATATTTCACCCCTCACTTCTCCCACTTACGTCTTCAGGCCACAGTCTTGTCCTTTTCACTATTTCAATGTGGAATTCTGGGCTGACCCCAAAAGGCCAGATTCCTTCCTTTACAACTCAACACCTACTATGTTCCAGGCTCTGGCCGCAGTAGGGCAACCTTTTGGTCCTCAAAACCCTCCTTTATTCTAGAGGCGATCAGGTGATGGGGGTCAGGCGCCTGTTCAGAGCGCCATGGGGAAGTTTAGCTCTGCTGGCCCTGGGCAAGTTCCTTCCTGCTGGGCCTCGGTTTTCTCATATGTGGCATGGGAACGTGGGCCTGGACCAGAAGAACTCCGGGGCCCTTCCGGTTCGGGTCCCGGGGATGGGGAGGGGTGAAACGCGTGGCGTGAGCAGGTGAGAGAGGCGCGCCCCGCCGGGCCCTGACCCGTGACAGCCGGGCCCGGCCTGGGAGTGAGCCCGCAGTGAGGGATGAGTGAGGCATTAGCGGGGATTAGTGCAGGCGGTGAGCGCCTTAGTGTCTAAACCGCGCGTTCGAATCCCGAGCCACCGCCCCTAGCGCCTGAGCTCCAATCACAGGCTGGGTCTCCCCCACTGCCTGGGCGCGGAAGAAACGCTGGAGCCCATTGGCTGGCGGCGCGGAGTCGCGCCCCTCAAGGAGGGACTGGCTACTTCCCATAGCCCCAAGGCCCAAGCTCACGCCTCGCAGAGGTCTAGCTTCCCAAAGCGAGCACGTTTGTCGGTGGTCACAGGCATCCTGCACATTGCACGGCAGCCTGGCCTAGAGGTGCGACCGTTAGCCTTCGGTTCACGCCCCACCTGAGCCGTTTGCTTGTGGCCTTGACAAGTTAAACTCTCCAAGCCCCCAGTTTCCTTATGGGTTCATGGTAAAACTCATGAATAATAACAATAGCGAAGAAAGGGAAGGAGGAAGTAAGAGAGAAGAGGAGGATGCCTAGGAATGGGAGCTATTTCTAGAACATTTCTTCCCCGTTTTCCAGGTGGGGTAACAACAGGCTCAGAGAGGTTAGCTGCCTTTCTGCGAATCCCACGGCCAGAAGCAGGAGGCACCTGTAGCACTGCGTCCTGCAGAGCTCATCCCTCCAACGCTCAGGCTGCACCTGCTCAGAGTCAGGACCTGTGCCCTGCCCTTGTTTCTTCCGGTCTATCCCGAGACTCTCCTTA